GTGGATCACAAAGACCTTCTTGTTGTGGTCGCAAACTCACAGAGCCTACATCCCCAACTCTCATCTAGCAAGGTGATGAGACAGTCGCCCATGTCGTCAGCGCTCATTGCAGCATTGCAGGCGCTACCCTGAGCATCGATGGATGCACCTGCTAGGCCTGTCAGACGTCTCGGCCGTTGGTCAGGGAGAGCAGAGAATCGTCGCAGACTTGACGAATCGAAGCCAACAAGAGCATGAGCAAGGGCCGGAGGAGGAAGGAGGGAAGGGGAGAGGAAAGGCGAAGGGAGGGGAAGGGGAGAGTTGACACTGAAGGCTAATGTGTTTTTAATCTTTGCAAGCATGAGGGGATATTTTGAGGAGAGCACGAGTTTGGTAGAGGGCATCTACTTTCCTTTCATCGCGTCACAGTCCGTTTGTTCTGACAGATGTTCATTTCATTGCGAGCAAGCCACGCATGAGGGCCAAGTGCTATCACTGAACAGTCTAGTGCATGCCCTACACCACCACGATGACGGCGCAAGATCAGCCTTCCGATAGATCCTACGACCCACCTGACCTTCATCCCGCGGTTCCCCCACTATGAACATGTCGTTTGCAGCTTCTCGCTTCACTCTACTCAGCGAGTCCGAGCCCTTGCGATCGGCGTAGTATACGTGCCCGTCCGCGGACGTCAGGTACCACTTGCCCGATGCAGCCATCAGGTCGTACTCCTGCCGGTCCTCGGGGCCTCGCGGGCCTCTCATCCCAGGCAGTCCCGGCAAACCTGCTGGTCAGTGAGCGACAAAACTCAAACTTGTAGGACACATATCGCTTCTAGCACACATATCGCTTCTAGCACACATATCGCTTCTAGCACACATATCGCTTCTAGCACACATATCGCTTGTTGCAGACACACCAGCTTTTCCGGGAAGCCCAGGAAGCCCCTCAAACCCTCTTCGACCCTCTTTGCCTGGGAGACCTGCCATGACACAGTTACTCTCTTGTTCCTCTCCCCTCTCTTCATACCTTGCGCCCCCTGCTCCCCGACGTCCCCTCGAGGTCCCTCTGCTCCTTGCAGACCTTGCATCCCCCTCACTCCTGCAGCTCCCGCCTTGCCCTCGTGGCCCGGAGCTCCAACATGTCCAGTGGCGCCATCCTTCCCTGAGAATCAGCATGTGACTGTGTGAAAGTGCGAGTTGATATGGCTGCACCTCGAACCCCCTTGACCCCTTCCTGGCCTGCAGCGCCCGGCATTCCTGGACTTCCCGTCCCTCCAGGGGGGCCCGGAGGACCAGGTGGGCGCTTTGCAAACATTTTCATCAAGTCTTGGACATCTGCATCTAGCCTGTGAAAGTTTTCTCGCAGGTTGTTGTCTTGAGCTGTCAGCTTCCTTTGCGTGAGGACCAGGTGCTGCTGCAACATCTTCTCACTCCAATCTGCGTCAAAAGCTGGCGAGCTCTCAAATTCATTCGTCGGAGTCAGCGAGCTCTTGCTATGCTTGCTTTCCTCATCCGAGTTAAGTAGTAAGCCAGCTAAACATCCAAGCAAGATACATGTGAAGAGCAGGAGATGCGTCCTGGTGCTGCTACCAGCATCCTGATCGCTTAGAAGTCACGGACACAGCGAATCACAAGAATCGGCGCCGTCGAAACAGAGACAGAGACAGAGACAGAGACAGAGACAGAGACAGAGACAGAGACAGAGACAGAGATAGAGAATAGAGATAGAGACAGAGACAGAGGGTCAGTGACAGGAAGGGGCTGGGGTCAGGAGCTTAGAGCTTCATGCTTACTTGGCTTGGATGCTGCTGGCTCCAACCTGCCCGCGTCTCTTCCCTCATTTCCTGGCTCATATTTGTGGCATATACAGTGGACCATCTCCCCTCCAAGGCCCGGGCCCCCTGGGCCCGGGTGCCAGGCCGGGCTACGGGCCCGGGCCCCCCGGGCCCTGGGCCTAAACCACTGAGGTATGGGCTAGAGGCAGTGGTTGGCCCGCGGATGAGATCGAATATAGTAGTTCCACCGTGACGAGCAGTGACGAGGACGAGACTGAGACGAGATCGGACGGCCTGCCGCAGTGCCGCCGGGCCCGAGCCACGCCGTGACCGCCGCTGGCGGCGCCGGGCCGGGCCCCGGGTTGCAAACTTGAAAGTTGTCCGAGTACGGTCCGCCGCTGCGGCGATGCCGCGGGGCCGGGGTTTTGGCGGCTGGTGGAGTTTTACTCCGGCCTCGCAGAAGGTAAACTTCACTTCGAGGTCGTCACTGGCGGGATTACACTTGGCGGCCTGCCTATCGGCACGGATGGTCCGCGGCCACCAGCTTTGTGGCGGCGGCGGACGTCTCGACTGACAGTGGTCAGTCGGCTGCCTCCGGGTATCGCGTCTGAGTCTAAGGGATTTTATTCCTCCTGCATGCTCCTGCTGCTTGTTGCTTGATTGCCTGACCCTTAGGCTGCTTGTCTGCGCGGCTTCGCGCTTGGGCTGGCGATGCCGCGTCTGGGTGCCAGCAGTGCTGGTTCTTTTCGGGCTTGTGTTTTGTGTGTGATTGTGCAGCTTCTCGCTGTGCGCAGTGTGCCAGTGTGCCAGGAGGTTCAGCTTGTTCCTCAGTGCTTTGTTTTGCTTGAGGCACTTTTTACCTTCTGCCAGTAAATCGGACTATCCTTGCTAGTCAGCTACGAGCGAAGGTTTCTACCCTCAACGAAGAGCTCTCGAAGCTCGGGCTCGTCCAGCTTAGAGTCATGTTCAAGACGCTGGTGAGGGCGAGCCATCTCCAGAAGCTGCGCTTCTTCCTCCAGGGGTCATCTCCGTTTCTCCCGCGGGTCCAGTCACAGATTCGTCGCTTTGACCTCTCTGTCCACCTGGCGCGCGGCTTGAGAAATACCACCGCTGGCCTTCCTCGCAGTACCTCGCCGCGCATCCCGACCTGCTCGAGTTTGCGAGGTTCAAGCGGGAGCTTCCGCATAGTCGGGGAGGGGACGAGTTCACGCCCTCTGAGGGTCTACACCCCGCTGCTTACTATACGGCTATCGCTCGCTTCCTCGCTTGGTACTCTGACCAGCCCATGTCCCGGACGCTGCCCTCTCCTCATAGCCTGGACGTTCACTGCTCGAGATCTCTCCGTGCCCAGAAGCATCCTCTGGCGACCTTCTTCGTTGAGGCGCACGACTTCGTTCATAATGCTGGAGCGATCCTCTACCGTCGTGTCGGAAGGCTCCTGCACCGGCCCGCCTGCAGATGGCACGGCGATCCCATCTGCCCCGGCTGCTACTAGGCTATGCCTGATGAAAAGTGCCTCAAGCAAAACAAAGCAGGAACAAGGGAGGGGGTGGATTTACTGGCAGAAGGTAAAAAGTGCCTCAAGCAAAACAAAGCAGGAACAAGCTAAACCTCCTGGCACACAGCGCACAGCGAGAAGCTGCACAATCACACACAAAACACAGGCCCGAAAAGATCCAGCACTGCTGGCACCCAGACGCGCAGCGCAACCCAAGCGCGAAGCCGCGCAGACAAGCAGCCGAAGGGTCAGGCAATCAAGCAACAAGCAGCAGAACATGCAGGAGGATTAAATCCCTTAGACGCGATACCCGGAGGCTGTCGACTGAATACTTTCAGTGGAGA